AGCAGCTCTACCTAATACATAGAAACAAACACCTGGAAGCAGCCAAAATGTGGAGGCAAAGAAACATGTCACAAAGGAAAGAACAGAAGAAATCTCTAGAAAAAGAACTAAACAAAATAGAACCAAGCAAGCTAACAAATACAGAGTTCAGAATTACGGTTATAAGGATGCTAAAGGATATTAGTAAGACTATTAAGAAAACAAGTGAGACCATCAATGACATAAAAGTACTAATTTGAAATGAAGGCTACCCAAACTGAAATGAGTAATTTACAGGGAATCAACAGTAGAGTAGAATATGCTGAGAATCAAATCAGCAATTTGGAACATGAGGAAACAAAAAACACCCAACCAGAAGAGCAAAAAGAAAAAAGAATCCAGAAATACGAAGGTAGTATAGAGTCTCTGGGACAACTTCGAGGCCCAACATTCGTATGACTGGGGTGCCAGAAGGAAAAGAGAGCAAGAAATTGAAAACCTATTTGAAAAAATAATTACAGAAAACTTCCCCTACCTGGGGAAAGAAATCGACTTACAAGTCCAGGAAGCACAGAGGGTCCCAAACAAGAGGAACCCAAAGAGGCTCACGGCAAGACACATCATAATTAAAATGCCAAAGGTTAAAGACAAAGAGAGAATCTTAAAAGCAGGAAGAGAAAAGCAGTTACCTACAAGGGAGCACCCATACAACTGTCAGATGATTTCTTAACAGAAACTTTGCAGGCCAGAAGGGAGTGGCTAGAAATATTCAAAGTGATGAAAAACAAGGATCTACAATTAACGCATTGTATGCAGGAAACGTATTTATACGTTTTACGTTGACTGGTAGTAGAGCGCGCGATAAAAACTACCCACAAACAATGTGTTAAGATTGCTCTACCTAGCAAAGCTATCATTTAGAATTGAAGGTCAGATAAAGAGCTTCTCAGACAAGGAAAAGCTAAAGGAGTTCATCACCATCAGACCAGCACTACAGGAAATGTTGAAGGGTCTTCTTTAAGAAGCTAATGAACAAAAGAATCTGACGAACTAAATAGATCCAGAGACATTGATGCATGCAACAGATGATCATATTTCAGAGGAAAGAGGGAAGGGGGTGGAGGGTGGGAATAGATTAACCAAAGAAGTTATATGCATATATGCATAACCCATGGACACAGTCAATAATGGGGTGAAGGCCTGGGGAGGAGGTGGGAGCGAGGTGGAAGGGGTCAATTGGGGGGGAAAATGGGATACCTATAATACTTTCAACAATAAAGATAAATAAAAAAATAAAAACAAATTTTAAAAAAAGTTTTCCAGTAGTAAATGATCCAGCTAAAGTACAAAGCCAGGTCTGTTTAAGTTTGCCTGACATTTGCCAACTTTGTGAAACACAAGCTGCATTGTGCCAAATTACCTCCTGTGACAAGTTAAATTTGAGTGGTGGGGAGAGAGGTTTTCTTTAAAGTAAAGATCATGGCTTCAAAACTATTACTCATAAGCATTGCTCTAAGGATATAGTATCAGGGGCAGAAGCCGAGTCAGTTACCATCTAGACTAGGGAAAATTTGATTCAGTGGATCTGGGATGGAGTTTAAGTCCCCCAGGTGATTCTGATGGGCAGACAAATTTAAAAACCACTGATTTAGATTTTGTCCTTCAGGTAGGAATGACTTGGGCTAGGATTGCCATTACAACAGGAATGGGCCTGTTTTTTTTTTCACCTACATGATATTCTTCTTTGAACAGATATTTTTTGAGTATTTATTACGTGCCAGGCACCATGCTGAGTCTCAGATCAAACTCATTTTAAAATGTAGCATTATTGTGAACCAGAGTACTATAGTAAAAAATTAGAAATGTGAATGTGAGGTTTTCAGAGGTCAGATGTGGTGGGGCATAAAAATCTGAATTGTTCATTGTAAGGTTGAGAAAAAAACTATCATTTTTTTTCATTCTTGTGTATTCTCACTGATGTTCTTATTCAGAGTCAAGTTTTAAATTTCAGTGTTTATTTTGAAGATGATATATGCCCATGTGGTGAATGTGGTTGAAAACAAATAACGAAAGCAGACTTTGTGACAAGAAATTTGGTACAAAACAAAATATTCAAATTTATTATATCTAAGAGGCATTATGGGCTGGAAATAGTCTCAAAAGATAAAAATAGTTTATGCATTTATTCAACAAACATTTATTGAGCATGCTAGGTGCTTGGGAATGTGATAGTAAGCAAACAGAATAGCTGCCCTCAGAGCTTATACTCTAATAGTGTGATGTAAGATACAGTGGGTTACACTGGGAG